AGGCAGCCCTCACCGCCTGTTCAGACACCCTTGGCCACCCCCACCCCCACCTGGCCAGCCCCAGCCCCTTTCATTTTGCTGAAGCTTTTGTGGCTCTCATCCCTGTCTCTGCAGTGGACAGTACTGTGCAGGGGCTCCGGGAGGCCCTCCTGGCCCACCTGCAAGATGCCCGTCGGGGAGAGCGGCTCCGCTCAGGGGCCCAGGTGGTCATTGCAGGCCCAGCCAATGCAGGCAAGAGCAGTCTCATCAACCTGCTGAGTGAGTGGGAGGAAGGAGGCCCATGGGGAGTGGGTGTACCCACCCTGGATGGGAGGATGGAGAAGTTTGGGGGGACAAGGGGGAGGGAATAAGCATTTGTTAGAACGTGCCAGGCACTATGCTAAGCCCTTTCTAAATATGTCATTTGATCCTCACCACAATCCTTTGAGGTCAGTGCTATTGTTAATCCCATTTTATAGACAAGGAAACTGAGGCAGACATCAGTTAAGTGACCTGCCCAGGGTCACACTGCTAGTAAGTGTCTGCAGCTAGATTTGGACTCAGGTCTTCCTGACTCCTGGCCCACCATTCTATCCGTTGGGCCACCAACCTGCTCTTGGGGCAGGGCAGGGGAGCTCCCCACTTCAGGGTGAGGAGGAAGCCGTTTAGGGGGAAATGGAGATGTCTGGGGGGAGGAGGAAGATGTGTGAGGAGAAGGGGAGACTCCTGGGAAAAGGAGAGAAGCTTTGGGGACAATATTCCCAGATGACTCAGAGCCCACCTGGCCCAACCCCCGCATCTTACAGATGACCAGACTGCGGCCCAGGTCACGTAGATAGTTAGGCGTCAGAGGCAGGATTTGAACCCAGGTCCTCTGTACCACTGCGCCTCCTGGGAGGAAGAGGAGATGGGAGAGGTGGGTGGGGGATGGAGAGCACTCGCCCTGCCGTCTCTTCAGGCGCCAGCTTCCCTGTGGCGCCACCAGGGGGCAGCAGTGCCCAGCCTTGGACCCGCGGGGTTCTGCTGGGATGGCAACTTGGGAGCTGATCCTGGGAAGGGGAGGGGGCCCGAGCCACGAGGCTCCTAGGAACTGACACGCTCACTCGTCCTCCCGAGGTCGGAGGCCTGTGGCCATTGTATCGCCCGAACCGGGCACCACCAGGGACGTGGTGGAGTCGGCTGTGGACATCGGGGGCTTCCCAGCCCTGCTGAGTGACACGGCGGGGCTCCGGGACAGCCCGGACCTGGTGGAGCAGGAGGGCGTCCGGCGGGCCCAGGACAGGTGAGGGTCCAGGGGAGACACGGGGCTCCCCCAGCCCCTGGCCCGGCTTGGGGGAGCTAAGGTCCTGGCCCGGGATGGGAGCAGCAGGTCTCTGAGCACAGCTTCCAGGCTCCTGGCAGGCAGGGGCTTTTCCTTCTCAGGCCATTTTCCTTCTTCTGAGCACCCCCTTCTGCCCCTCCCCTAGGGCTCTTCTGCTCTAGGCTGGCCATCCCCAGGCCTTCGTGGGGTGTGTGAGGGGCTGGTCTTGGACTCTGGGGCCAGTGTGGTCGGGTTGGGGTCCCCGGGAGTCTAAGAGATGAGGTTGGGAGGGCCTCCCTGGGCTCTGTTAACGTATAACACCTTCCATTTCTCTCTTACCTAAGAGCTTAATCCCATTGTTAGGAATTCATTCAGAGATGTGCTTAAAGGTTTGTAGGACCCTGCTTCTAGAAGGGTGAGGTGAACCCCAGCTGGTCACCTTCACCCTTGCACTGAAGAAGCCCCCTTTGACCTCGACAATGCCCAGGAGCCTTATCTCCATTTCATAGACTGGAGACTGAGGGTCAGCGAGGGAAGTGGACTGCCCCAGCTGCTCAGGCGCAGGGCCAGGGCAAGAGCCCAGGTCTCCCGACCCTCGGGCCTCTTTTGCAGTGGGATGGTCCCCAGCACCCCTCTGACTCAGGCTCCTCCTGCTTCCATCCCGTCCCCACAGGCTGGCTCAAGCCGACGTCGTGCTGGCCCTACTCGATGCCACAGACTTGGCCTCGGCCTGTAGCCGTCACTTCCTGGAGACAGTGGTGACTCCTGGGGGACCCTCCACCCCCAGCCGCCGCATCCTGCTGGTACTTAACAAGGCTGACCTGCTGCCAGAGGGGATGCAGCCCAGGGGGCCTGCCCTGCCCCCCCATCTCCTGCTGTCCTGCAAGACAGAGGCCGGCCTGGAGGCTGTGCTGGCCTCCTTAAAGAGGGAGCTGGCTGCTGTGTGAGGACCACCCCACTTGCCATTTTGTCTTGCCCTCCCGCCTCTGAGCTATCTGACCTTCTGTACTGACTGACCTCTGCCTTCTCACTGAGCTCCCTTTCTCTCCATCTCCTGTTCCTGACCATGTGAACCCCTGGCTTTGACAGTTTCTCTCCTCAGAGACTCTTGCCCTCTGACCCCCCCCCCCCACCTCTGATTGGCCATCTTTGGGCTTTCAGACTTGTTTCATCTTGGGAGACTGAGGGCTGGGGTTCACCCTTCCCAGGGTAGCCGTTCTTCCTGGGTATCTCCGGTGAGAATGTTTGGTTGGGAGGCAGGGACCAGAAGCTGGGGGCCATGGTGGGATTGGTTCCTCCCCTAGTCATGGGCATCCCTTTCAGATGCGGTGATCCGACTGTTGGGCCTCCAGTCCTGACACGGGCCCGCCACCGCCACTACCTCCAGAGCTGCTGTGAAGCCCTGGGTCGTTACGAGCAAAGCAGGACCCGGGACCTGGTACTGGCTGCTGAGGAGCTGAGGGCCGCCCGAAGGCAATTGGGCTACCTCACTGGGCAGGCCGGGGCCGAAGATATCCTCGAGGTCATCTTCCGGGACTTCTGCATCGGCAAGTGAGGACTGAAGGACTGCGTAGGGGCCCCAGGGCCAGGCATGCACGGCCCGGTCAGCGGGAGGGCCGCGGGATGGCCAAGAAGGATTCTCCGGTGTGACTCAGAAGCTCTGGGCTTGTTGAAGAAGTTTGTAGACGCCACTCTGCCCACCTTGGCCCTGTCTCTTTCTCTGATGTGCCTTCCCTCCCAGTCTGGGACCTGGGCCCGCTCTCTCCCCAGGAAGTCTAGGCCATTAGGCGCCCACCTCCATCATCTTAGAAGAGGGAGGAGGTGAGATGTGGATTTCAGCTGGAGACAGGCTTCTTGTAAGATTAAGTGAGGTGGCTCAGGCATTCGAGGCCTTTCGAGGGCAGGGGAAAGGGCACTGCCTGATAGTAAACAGGCTTTTTAAAAGAAATTTTATTTACCTCTTTTCTCTTATGTCACCTACATTTGCTAGTATATCTCTGCCCTAACTCCTCCCAAAGCATCACCATTTATAATTAAATTAAATATAGAATAATATATAATAAATATAATTTTAAAAAATAGACCTCGGTATTCCACACTTATGGCCCTCCCCTTCTGCAGGCCAGTCTCTATCACATAAAGAGCCCTTTGGGAAGGAGGGGCATGGAAAGGGAAGAGAACGTGAAATCCTGGACCCCAGGGAGCCTCTGGGCTGTCCTTTGGCTCATTCTTTGTTCATTATTAAGGGTCCTTTTCCTGAACTGGGTGAGTTCATCTGGGGCCTGGCTTCCTGCTGTAGGGAGGAGAATGCCACCCCACCCCTAGGACCTTTTTTCAAGCAGGGGTTTTTAGCCTTTTTTGGCATCCTGGACCCCTTTGGCACTCTGGGGAAGCCTTTGGACCCCTTCTCGGAATCATGTTGTTAATACATAAAATAAAGTGGGGGGAGGGGAGTGAAAGGAATCTGCATTTATGTAGCTCCTACTGTGTACCATTGTTAAGTGCTTTACAAACATTTCATCTGATCTTCACAACCACCCTGCAAGGTAGGTGCTGTTAATCCCTATTTTACAGTTGAGGAAACCGAGGCAGAAGTTAAATGACTTGCCCAGGGCCACACAGCTAGTAAGTATCTGAGGCTGGATTTAAATACATAGAATTAATTTTTTAAAATGAATGTTAATAAATAAACATTTTAAAAATACATAGGATTCCTGAGGAAACCAATTGTATTGAAATACCGTCATCAAATTGTTTAAAAAAAAAAAAAAGGTTCAATATCTCCAGGTTGAGGATCCCATCTAGAATCAAAGAATCAGAATTGGAAAGGATGGCAAAAGGTTGTCTCGTCAAAATTGCACCTGAAGAGAATTCCCGTACTTCTACAGCACCAATGAGTGAATGAATGAGAAAGCATTTAAATAGCTTACTATGTGCCAAGCAAGCCCTCTGAGAACTCCAGTAAAGTGCTTAATGTGTGCCACGCAAGCCCTCTAAGAATCGAATTAAAGTGCTTACTATGTACCAAGCAAGCCCTCTGAGAACTCCAGTAAAGTGCTTAATGTGTGCCAAGCAAGCCCTCTAAGAATCGAATTAAAGTGCTTACTATGTGCCAAGCAAGTCCTCTGAGAATTGGCTGCTCAGTCTCTGCCTGAAGGTGTCCAGGGAGGGGGAGGAGCCTAGACTACTTTGGATAGCTCTGTTTTTGAAAGGTCTTTATTCCAGCTGCAGCCCGGCCCTGGGCCAAGGCCAGTCTGGCTCCTTCCCAGGCCGGGGCTCCCTGTGGCCTCCAGGGTCAAATATAAAATTCTCTAGCTTGGAGAGCCCTTGGGTAAGACTCCACCCCCACGCCTTTCCAGCCTTGTGAAACCTTTCCCTCGGTGCATAGTCAGGGCTCTGTCGTGCAGTGACGCTGGTGTCCTTGCTCTTCCTGGACCAACACGCCCCATTTCCCTGGCTGTCCTGAGTGACTGGAACCCTCTCCCTCCTCATCATCGTCTCGGTTTCTCTGGCTTTCTTTAGTCTCACCTAAAATGCCACGCTTTTAGAGGAAGCTTTCCCCAATCCCCCTTAATTCTAGGGCCTTCCCCCTGTTGGACATTTCCCATTTATCTTCTTTAGCTTGTTTGTGCAGAGTTGTTTGCATGTTAGATTGTAAGCTCCCCGAGGGCAGGGTCTATCTTTTGCCTCTATCTCCAGTGCTTAGCACAATGCCTGACATATAGTTGGCACTTAATAAGTGTTTATTGATTGACTCTTCCACATGATGGCCCTTGGGAGAGCTAAATGTGATAGCTGTCATGTGTCTTCCCCTCCCTCCCTCCCAATCTTTTCTTCAGACTAAACATACCCAGTCCCTTCACTCGGTCCTCACAGAGATGTGCCCACCCCATCATACCAACTCCTTGTGGGACAGAGGGATTCCATACATTTTGCTTGGCCCCAAGAGAGCCACACCAGTAACAGTGGTTGCAAGTTGGACAGAGGCAGATCTGACAGCAGTAAGGAGTAGTCCCTGAATGCAATGATCGTCCAGGGCAGGGTGGGGAACCTTCAGCCTTGAGGCCACTTGTGGCCCTCTAGGTCCTCAAGTGCAGCCCTTTAACAGAATCAAGACTTCACAGAACAAATCCACTTCATAAAAGGATTTGTTCTGCAAAACTTGGACTTAGTCAAAAGGCTGCACCTGGGGGACCTAGAAGGTCACGTGACCTCGAGGCCACAGGTTCTCCGCCCCTGGTCCAGGGGGTGATAAATTTCCTTTCACTGGGGTGCCTCCGCAGGAACCGCTTGAAGCCCATTCCCCATCTCTAAAATTCTGGGAAATGAGAATTAATTACTGCTAATTAGAGAGGAGATCAGAAGGTTTCGAGGAAAGGACCTCAGAATCAAACTGGGTCAAACCCTTTATTTTTGCAGAGGGAGAAAATGAGGCCCAGAGGAATGCGTTAGACCTTGCGTCCCCTGACTCCCAGGCTAGTGCTCTCTCCCTTGAAACACACTGCCTCCCGAGAGACAGCTGCTTTAAAAAAAAAAAAAATAGGGCCATTAAATACAAGGACTAGGGTTTAAAGACCCCACTGATCCCTGATAACCCTCCTACGCCTTCCCAATCAGGGGCAGGGAGCAAAATCTTCCCTCTCCTCAGTGACACTCCCCTAGGAAAAGGGTATTCACTAAAGGCTGAATTCCCCACAAGGCATGGAGGTGACTTTCTGTGCTCACAGGGGACCTTGGGGGATGAAGGATGAGCTCGTGTTCACTTTCAGGGAGAAGGTGGGGGGACCTTAGACATATTGGGTTCAACCCAGGAGTCTCCCGTTCCTTGCTCAAGTCTTTGGGTCCCAGGGCTCAGAACCCTTAGAGGAAATGGGTTGATTCTCTGAAAAGTAGCCCCTCCCCAGGAGCCCCCAGCTTCCTTTCCCCCTCAGCCTTCGCAAGCCTTATGGTGAAGGGTGCTGGGGGCTCCTGGGGAGGGCCAGGTCAAAGGAGCTTGGCCAGCTTTCCGTTTTTTTCCAAGAATCCTGAGGCCCAGTCGGAAACTGCCCCTCCTTGTTATTTATAGAGGGGGTAGGAAATCCCCAAGCAGCCTGGTGAGGCCCTGCTATGGGATCTGGGCCAGGGCAGAAGGTAGGGGGTGGGGTCTGAGGACCAAGGAGATCTCAGCAAGAAGTTTTGTGTGTGTGTGTGTTTGTGTGTGTGTGTAGAAATGCCAAACACTCATTTCAAAGCTTTGTTATAAGGGAAGACTTGCTATTGAGGAAACAAGAAAAGCCTATATTCAGAAATGAAGATGTTATAAAAACTAAAGTTATCAAAATTCTAAAATTTAAAAACTTAAATTTTAAAAAATTTTAAAATAAAATTTAAAAAGTTAAAAGTTAAAAATAAAAAAAGATTTCAGCAACCCAAAGTCACTATCTCCCTTCCCTGGGACAGAAAGAGACCCTCGTTTCTATCTGGGAGTTAGGGAGGGTACAGGGCCATAGAGCCAGTCAGGGAGTGCTGTCCAGGGCCACCAGGCACCTTGTAAGGTCAGGCTTAGAGAGCTTTGCTGTGGGAGGGGGTACTGCTTGCCCCCAAGGTGCCTGGGGCCAAGGGGATGCAGAGGGTCAGTTCATGGCATGGGAACTGCTGAGGGAGGACAGGTCTTGGGGAGTCCTGGGCAGTCAGGGAACAGTAGGAGGATGGAAGGTGCTTTATTCATTTTGAGGGGGAAGGGTCCCTCTATCAAGAGGAGTTCCTATAGTCATTGAAACTAGACCCCAGAGCCCAAGTTCTGGACTCTCATAGACCTCAGGGAATGGAGTGGGCAAATGTAGATGGCAGCTCCAGAATGCTATGACCCTGGTGATTAACATCTCCCAGGAGGAGCTGTGTGAATGCTAAGAACTGGAGTAATTATATCCAAAGTAGAATGTAGAATGTCAGAGCAGAGAGGGAACTTAGAATATGGCACATGACTTTACTATAGAGAACAGTAGATCTGAAAGGGATCCTAAAACCAGAATCACTCTGCTACAAGGGACCTTAGAACCTAGAATGTGAGAGCTTGGAAGAGCCTCAGAACATGGAATATCAGAGAGGAGAAGGGACCTTAGAACCAAGAATGTGAGAGCTTGGAAGGGCCTCAGAACATGGAATATCAGAGAAGAGAAGGGACCTTAGAACCTAGAATGTGAGAGCTTGGAGGGGCCTCAGAACATGGAATGTCATAGGGGGAAGGGGCCTTAGAACGTAAAATGTGAGAGCTTGGAGGGGCCTCAGAACATGGAATATCAGAGAGGAGAAGGGACCTTAGAACCTAAAATTTCAGGTGTAGAGTGGGGCTGGTAAGAATCTTTTAACATAGGGTATCAGAGTTAGGAGGGAGCTTAGAATGTAGGATGGTGGAGCTAGGAAAGGTCATTTCCTTTATAGAAGAAACAGAGCCAGGGAGGGAAAAGGATTTGTGTAAAGGGTTCCATATTGAACAGTTTAAAGTAGAACCCAGATCTCAACTGCTCTGATGAATGCTGCCTCCCAGAACTGACTCATTAGTTCCTATCCTAAGGCTGTCATCTTCCTGCCCTCTTGTCAGCCCCAGTCCTAGCCAGAACACTGGGAGAAAAAGTGGGAACCGGGCCCACCCTTATGGATCAGGGATAGGCCTAGACCCTATTAGATCCCTCCTAGAACTGGCCCCAGCATCATCGAAACCCCTTCTAACCTTGATTATAATTTTGCACTCTTGGGGACCATTCCATGGGCAGCTTTCCTTGCCATGTCTAGTGTGAGTAGTTGGGGGAAAGCCAGGGGTCCATCCCCTCCTCCTTCTTACTCTGTGCCCCAGCAGGCCCCCAGCCAGGCCCAGTGCATCCTCAAGAAGCAGGCGTCTCTCTGCCAGACTTCCGCTCTCCGGAAATATCCTTGTCTTGAATAAACAGCTTCTTTGTCACCTCACACCCGTGCTGGGCCTGAGAACTGCTCCCCCTGGGGTGACTCATTCTGCCCCACTTCCCACCTGGTCCTAAGTGCTGAGTTCCCTTGCTCCTGGCTGCCCCAGGACAGGCCTGGGTATAGCCACGGTCCCTAAACTTTAGGGCTGGTCCCATCACCACCCACCCCTGGGTGGGTAACACCATCTTGGCTGGGGAATCTTGGGTATAGCACTGTATTGGTCACTGACTCTTGTCAGTCAGAGACAGTGGCTAGGTGAGGGAGTCAATGAGGATGACTTGATGTCAGGAAGGCCCCAGGCTACCCCTGAAACCCAGAAACCAGGCTATTCCAGAAAGGATGATTGAAGCTGGTATTTTGGTTCAATTATTCTTTATTAGGGACTTCCATGTAGAATCAGAGCATCACAGCATGAGGGAAAAAGGGGCCTTCTGTTTCCCAGCTCCCTAGCTCAAACCTGAGCATTCAGGGACAGTCAGAGAACCTTTTTCCCACCACCATGCAGGCCTTACCCCCAGACCCTGGAGCCCCCTGAGGGGGGATGCTCAATGGGGATTCTAGATTCAGGGAACCAGGAGGGTCAGGACCTAGAAGAAGAGTCCCCCAAGGAGGCTTGGTCAGCACTGGAGC